TTCTTTAAGAAAAGTTTATCTGTCAGGGTTCAGTGCCAGACGGAAACCACCCAGGTATTTTAAGAAGAAACAGTTACTGTAGAGAATTTGGCAGCTGACAAAGTCTGCAGCAGCTGCCTCTTGGAATGCTCAGTCTTCTTAAGCTCAGTCCAACATAAGTAGCCCAAAGCTTTGAAGCATCTGTCCTACTTCTGCCCTCCAAATCTTATGCAAGAACATCTAATTAGCCGAATATAATTTTGCATCTAGCCCTCTAGCTGCAATGGTTATCTCAGAAATGTAGTTTTTAGCCTTCTAGCCTCTGCAGTCCAACAAAACCCACTGGAAGGAAGTGCTGAGTACGCAGACACATATCCAGCCACATTTTCCTTCATTCAAACACTTGACTGGAGATCTTCAGAACTGGTAATACCTGCCAATATTATTTCTTATGGGTTATTAACAAGCACTGATTGGGCACAACCTAAATTATTACCAAATAAGCCTAACTTCCTCTGTTTCTTCTCACCCAGAGAAGGATGGTTTGTCGACCTTGTAGTTTGAAATTGATGTTTGTAAAATGAAAATAAGAACAATTACAAATTATTGAATAGCTAAGATCCTATTTCAGGATTTGCACAATAGAACTGCCCCATGAAGATAGTCTCCTTGGGGAAGGGGCATATTTAGAAATATACAGTGATAGATCTGGTAGGAACCTTAGAAATAATTTCCCAGAGAGCAGAATGAGACCCTATCCCTAAAAAATAGCAGGATATTATGATGGGCTCCTGTGGTCCCAGCTACTCGGGAGGCTGAGGCAAGAGGATTGCAAGAGGATTACTTGAGCCCAAGAGTTTGAGTTTGCTGTGAGCTATTATGCCATGACACTCTTACCCCAACTGACAAATTGAGACTGTCTCAAAAAGAAAAAAAGAAATAATTTCCCAAAGTGTCTTCCAAAAACTATTTAGATTCACGTGCTATTTTACTAAATCAAATGTATTCAGCCGTCAAATAAGTTTGGATAACAGGGCATATCCCCATCTCAAAGAACCATGATTCACATTAGCATATTAGAGGCTCTGGGAAGTTCTACAGTGAGGAATCGGCTTAACTTTAGCCACTGGTTCCCAAATGTGTTTTACCCCATAGCTCTTCATTTTTAACTGAATGACTATTAACCTTCTGAACAAGTGGCTTTCTATGGGGCATGTGCTGGGAGGACTGGATGTAAGGCCAACTCCTCTTCTTCCACACTGGGAAGCTGAGGTCTAAAGCAGTGTGGTTTTTTTGCCCATGATCCCAGAAATCATGGGTAATAGAGCTGAGAATAAACCCAGAGTTTTTTTGTTTTTGTTTTTTTCTTTTTCCTCACTTGGTCTCATTGAAAGCAATTCTCCTTCTCCAAATCTCTAGGCAACATCACTAAGGTAGCAGCTACTGGGAGATAGGCTACTCACTGGAAATCATACTTTATCAGATATCCTGCCAATGTGGAAGGATTCTTTTACTGGTGGGCCCCCTAACCAAATTATTAGAAATAACAAATTGGGAGAACAAAGAGAAAGTCAACTACTTAGTCAACTACTTTTCCCCCCAAATAATCAGTGTTTCGAGAATAGCTGGCATATTCTTTTTTTTTTTGAGATAGAGTCTCAACTTTGTCACTGTTGGTAGAGTACCATGGTGTCATAGCTCACAGCAACCTCAAACTCTTGGGCTCAAGTGATCCTCTTGTCTCAGCCTCCCATGTAGCTGCGACCACAGGAGCCCACCATAACGCCTGGCTGTTTTTAGAGATGAGGTCTCACTCTTGCTCCGGCTAGTCTCAAACTTGTGAGCTCAAACAATCCACTTGTCTCAGCCTCCAGAGTGGTAGGATAATAAGTGCAAGCCACCGAGCCCAGTTTCTTAACTGGGATACTCTTGGACCCTTCATCTTTTTCACCCTTACCAAATCACAGACCATCAGGAAATGACACCAGTGTATTAGTTATCTATTAATGCAAAACCCATTACCCAAAAACCTAGTGACTTAAAACATAGCAACCTTTCTTTTGTGGCTTAGGTATGTGGTTCCGGTGCAGTTTCCCATGTGGTCACAGTCACAGAGTCAGCCAGGGATGCAGTTATCTGAAGACTTAACTGAGACTGGAGTGTCTCCTCTCAAGGCAACTCACTCACAAGCCTGGAAAATTCATTCAGGTGGCTGGCAGGAGGCTTCAGTTCCTTGCCATGTGGGTTGCTTGCTATCAGGCTGCTTGAGTGGCCTCATGACACACATGGTGGTTGTTTTCCCCAGAATGAAGGGAGCGGGGGTGGGGGGGAGAAGAGAGACAGAGAGAGATGCCTTTTATGACCCAGTCTCAGAAGTCACACATCATCACTTCTGTCAATCTATACTCATTGGAAATGAGCCACTATATACAGATCACATTCAGGGGGAGGAGAGTTAAGTTCTCCCTGTTGAAGGGACAAGTAGCAATGAATTTGTGGACATGTTTTAAAACTACCACACCAAGAAAGACCTGCAAGGAGGAGGGAAGGATGCTAATTAAATGACAAAAGAAAACAAAAACACCTTCCCCCCCAATAATCCCAAGACACATGGTGGTGGTAAAAATCCATTTAGGAGAAGAACAAGTAACTATTTAGAAACTCTGAAAGAGACCTGAGTTCCAACCTCAGTCATTGGCATAGACATCTTTGAACTTCTTGCAAAACAAACTTCTGAATAAAAGAACTTCTGAGAGAAAGCTTCTATTGCTGGCACTGTGACTAGGAGAAAATATGAAGGATTTCAATCAAGGATAAGCAATTCGGAGAGTGTATCCAATGTTTTGACTTGTATCCTTCCAAGTTAACTTTTCCTGTCTTAAGCCTTTGAATTTTCTAAATGTTGCAATACCCCAACCTGACTAAAGGGGTCAAATTCCAGCTCTAGTCTTCAACTCTTTTTTTCTCTTTCCTCTAAAGGTTTATATTCATTTCTCTAGGCTGTCTGAAAGCAAGATAGCATGATCTAATTTCATAAGAATTTATTTCCAAATAGTTGTTGACAGAGTCTGAAAGTCTCAGAAAGATCAGACAGATCAAATTCCCTCCTTTACTCAAGAGTTTTTTCTTAATAATATTAATAACCCCCCCCCCACACACAACTTTGATCCCCAAAGAACTTTCCTTTGTGGCACTTGGGGTACTCAGTCAATCAGCAACCATTTCTTGGACATATAATAAAGATAAGAGGTTCTCTAGGACTCAGATGTTGGGAGGTAAACAGAAAACAGACACAGATAAATGCAATAACCACATAAATGGGATCAGAGAGAGAAAAATGGGCTGAGACTACATCTAGGCAGTTGTATGCAATCAGGTGGATTTATTAAGGAAAACATCCCAGAAAAGATGAACTTAAAGCCATTCTAAATATTTGGGGGCAACTTGGGCAAACATTGGAAAGGAAAAGAATAAAGACCGAATGCCTGGCTCGGTGCCTGTGGCTCAAGTGGCTAAGGCGCCAGCCACATACACCTAAGGTGATGGGTTCGAATCCAGCCTGGGCCCGCCAAACAACAATAACGGCTGCAACAACAACAACAACAACAAAAAGCAGGATGTTGTGGCGGGTGCCTGTAGTCCCAGCTATGGGGGAGGCAGAGGCAGGAGACTCACTTGAGCCCAGGAGTTGGAGGTTGCTGTGAGCTGTGATGCCACAGCACTCTACCCAGGGTGACAGCTTGAGGCTCTGTCTCAAAAAGAAAAAGACCGAATGTCTGGGCCATCAAAGAGATGAGAAAAGTGTGGGGTAGAATATAGTGGGGATGAGATTGGGAGTGGAGGGTGGAAATGGTGATCAAGATGAATCTAAACAAACTGAGCTGTAAAGAATTTGGTGTGGTTGGAGCAATTCCTTTGCAAGAGGAAAAATATTTTTTTTAGCATATTGCTTCTCATATCAAACCTAATCATCCCCCCAAAGCAAAGCCCCCCCCCTTTTTTGTTGCAGTTTTTGACTGGGGCTGGGTTTGAACCCACCACCTCCAGCATATGGGCCAGCGCCCTACGCCTTGAGCCACAGGCGCAGCCCCAAACCCCCTTTTCTATTAATAGAGATGCTTAGAAAGATAGACCTGTTCTGTGGTCCCTTCTAGGGAGATGTGGGTTTAAAATCCTTCCCTCCCTTCCAGAGCACCATCTTATCATCAGTCAAGACTAAAGGTCAACCAACTGTCTATGGAGAAAAGGCCAGAGTGATTGATTCATTCATTCAACACACACAAACCTTCAGGTTTGAGAGGCAAGTAGGATTAAATATATTGTCTATGGGACTGGAAAAAGATGGTAGGCAAGTCTTCAGTGTAATTTTCACCTTTCTCTCTCATGGGGAAATTTTCAAAAGATTATTCAACAGACACTTACTGTGATTATGCTATGCATGTGTCAGGGTCCATGCCCTATGCCAGGAATACTGGAATGACTGAAGCATTGTATTGACAGTGGTGACAACAAACTTAAAGCCTAAATATTTCCATTTCTGCTTCTGGCTTTTGCTTTGTTTAAAAAGGGAACTATTTCTTCGGCCAAGTGTGGTGGCTCAGGCCTATAATCCCAGCACTCTGGGAGGCCAAGGCCTGTGGATTGCTTGAGCTCAGGGGTTCGAGACCAGCCTGAGCAAGTGCGAGACCCCATCTCTACTAAAAATAGAAAAACTAGGCATGTAGCAGGCTCCTGTAGTCCCAACTACTCAGGAGGCTGAGGCAAGAGGATCACTTGAGCCTAAGAATTTGAGGTGAGCTATGAATTTGAATTGCTGTGAGCTATGATGCCATGGTACTCTACTGGGACAACAAAATGAAACTTTTTTCTGTCGCCGCCCCCAAAAAGAAGAACTATTTCTCCTTGAACAGAGTGGCCAAATGTGCAGCAGGTGAACAGAGTCAGATCTGTTGTCCACTTGTTGTACCAGCAGTGTCATGTTAGCAGTGGCCTCCAGCTGTCCAACTCTTGCTTCTTCCTACCAATTGGAACCAAGATATTTTTATGCTCATATCTGCAAAAAACCAAGTGGTGGTGTGAAAATTCTTGATACTGTGTTTGGAACCAAACACATTCTACTTTCTGCAAATCCATATACTAGGTGACTACTTCAATATCAACTGACACAAAATATAAAATGCAGCAATAGTTCAGGAGTTTCTCAGTGCAGGAGTTGATCCTTTCATTTTGATTGAGGAACCTTGAATATAGGAAGGATGAGGGACTGACCCAAAGTCATGTGGCAGGCAACAGAGAGGACAGGCCAGAGCTTTTCAAATCTCCTGGCTCTGAATCTATGTTCTTTTTATTAAGCTAGTTGTGACATAACCCACCCAGATGAGTACAGCTTTTATTCTCCCTCATCGAGGGCCGTGCTGGCTGCACAACTCATGCACATACATCATGATGGTTTCTGTGTGGTTGATGCTCACCACCCTCTGACTTCATTTCTTTTTTCCTTTGCAAAATGGCTATTGCCCAGAGCCAGCATCTCTTTTCCAAAAAGTTAACATGCCAGAAGGGTTTTTTGGAAACTGCCCTGCTATCTGTCAGGAGCCAGATGATTCACAGCAACGCATGTAACAAGGATACCTGATTGGATTACCAATTAGCCACCTCCACTTCTGGAGGGTGGTTGGAAAGAAGAGAAAAGGCAGTGTTTAGTTTGGGCAGATACCAAAAGGGCTTTATCATTCTCCTCAAGGCATCATCATGGCACATTAGACCTCTTCCAAGCCATTCCACTGGAACTTCTCTCTCCAGCGGCTCCAGCAAGAGTAAACTTGTTAGGCAAACATTGGTTTATTGTGTCTGAGCGACAGAAGCACCTCTGTGTCAGTAAGAGGGGAGAAACTGGCTGACTTGCGTCTGTTTTTAATGATGCCTCTGCTGCTGGGAAATTTTGGAAGCTGCAGGTAAAATCTCCCCCTTTGAAAACAAGGCTGCCCTGGAATGTGTTATCTTACCTTCACCTGATGAAAGCAGCTCAGTTTGGGTAGGCCCTGGGAGGGACAGGCAGACATTCTCTCCATCTGGACCCAGCAAGTCGTGTTGCCGTGTGGGATCTCTGGAATCTTCTTGAAAATAAGCACAAGCATGGACTGAACCTGCATCATGTTCCCTCCAGCCCGGTGGGCACAAGGATATAGAAGGCTGTGTGCTCAGGTACTCACCAGAGCATAGGGTAAGCCCTGCTCCTGGGAGTCAGCAGAGCAGGGCCATTTTTAAGCTCTGTTCTCTGGGGTCAATGTGGAATGAATGGGGGACTACCACTATATCGCGCTTTTCTGAGAGTTTAGGAAAGGTAGTCCCTCTGGGCACTTCAAAGGCAGGGCTAGGCTGGTAGGGGCACCCTGTGTGAAGGAAAGGACACCCCTTCCACCAGGCATTGCAGCCCAGGCCCTGCTGATTGTGCTTCTGTGCTCCCTCTCTGAGATGTCCTGGGCAGTACTCAGCATGTTCAGCCATACAGCCTGTGGACCATGCTGGGACCGCTTAGTGACTCGGGCTCATGTCAGGCAGGAGACTTAGAAAGTTTGACGGCATTTCTATAATCTTATTATAAAAGTAAAAACAAGTCATTTTTTCCCTCTTCTACTTGCACACTCAACTCGGAACACTTCTGTGACTAGACATGTGGGGTTTCCCCACACCAAGTAATTCTCCAGTGGACACCAAGTGGGTGCCCTGGAATTCAGTTCATTCAGTTCAATTCTGACACCTTCTACTGGGGGATAGTGTCAGATCCCACAGGTTAAGAGCTCAGGCCCTCAAGACTGTCTCACACTTCAGATGCCAGGTTGCGACCTGTACTTCTTACTGACTGGCTATAAATTGGGGTCCCATAACCCCTCTTTAGGTTTGATAATTTGCTAGGATGGCTCACAGAACTAAGAGAAATACCTATTTGCATTTGCTGGTTTATTCTAAGGATACAGATTAAGGCTCGGCACCTGTGGCTCAAGTGGCTAAGGCGCCAGCCATATACACCCAAGGTGGCGGGTTCGAATCCAGCCCAGACCTGCCAAACAACAATAATGGCTGCAACCAAAAAATAGCGCCAGGCATTGTGGCGGGTGCCTGTGGTCCCAGCTACTCAGGAGGCTGAGGCAGGAGACTCGCTTGAGCCCAGGAGTTGGAGGTTGCTGTGAGCTGTGATGCCATAGCACTCTACCTAGGGGGACAGCTTGAGGCTCTGTCTCAAAAAAAAAAAAAAAAAAAAAGGATACATATGAAGAGCAAGATGAAGAGATGGACAGGGTAAGGGGTGTGTGTGTGTGTGTGTGTGTGTCCAGGGCTTCCATGCTCTCTTTGGGCAAGAAACATTCCCAGCACCTACACCTTCAGCAACCCAGAAGCTCATCTACTCTTGTTCAAGACGGTTTCCAGTGGCCTCCTCCCTTTTCTTGGAGGTTTGGGGATGGGCTGAAAGTTCCAACCCTCTAACCCTCTAATCACTTGGTCTTTCTGGTGACTGGCCCCATCCAGAGGCTACCTAGCATGCCATCCTATGTCACCTCATTAGCATAATAAACTCATATGTTATCCAAGGGGCTCACCATGAATAACAAGACACTGCTGTCACTCAGGAAATTCCTAGAGTTTTAGTTCTGTAGTAAGAACCAGAGACAAAGATCACATATATTTCATATTATACCTTTTGCATGTCTAAGACAGAGGGGCCAGGAATAGGGCAAGCCACCAGCAAGAGTGGATGCTAAGTAGTGTACACAAATATGCATACACACACTGAGGCGTGACACACACACAAATACACATACATATTCACACAGAGGTGCACACACATGTATACACACATGGACATATATTCTCACAAGGTAAGTATACACATGCACAATGACACATGTATGCACACAAGTATGCATATCACACATGAACAATGACACACATGTGAACATACTCCTTACAGGACATGCCCCTGCATATATAATGCATATATGTAACATTGACACACTCATACACAGTGTGCATGCATGCACACAAGCACACACATGGACATACAAATACACACATACACCCACACACTCAGACCAATGTGCTCTTACACACACATTCACTTAAGTCCTCCCCAACATACACATTTGAGGCTTTAGGCTGCCCTTGTGTCACAGCCATGGTCCTGGCTTCCTATTCTATCAGATTTTCCCTTTGTGAGGGTGTCCTAGAGTGGGTGTGTATGTCTATTCCGTGTGACTTGTCCTGGTCCACGCAACCTCCTGATGCTGACATGTCAGTATGTCAAGTTTGGTTCACTTGTATCAAAATTAAAAGAGCATCAGTGCTGCACAAGTATAAAGGGGAGGAGGTTGTGAAAGAGAGGTTCCCTCCTGTGATGGGTTCTAAGCCGAAACAATGTCTTTAGGGAAAGAGAGAAAGAAAGAGAGAGTTTGGGGGTGGAGGAGAGAAGGAGATGTGATTTTTGACCATCTCAGCCTGAAACAGAGAAGTTGCAAACACAGATTGGAGTTATTGATCTATGTATTCAATCTATGTTTATAAGAATTCAACTATACATACTTTGAGGAGAAAAAGGTGGGGTGAGAAAGAGAGATTGATTTAATGCTGAGGCATTTTGTTCCTGAGTGAGCAGGAAATGAAAGAAGCGATATCTGTTGCCTTTTTTTTTTTTTTTTTTTTTGAGACAGAGTCTCACTATGTCGCCCTTGGTAGAGTGCTGTGGTGTCATAGCTCACAACAACCTCAAACTCTTGGGCTCAAGCAATTCTCTTGCCTCAGCCTCCCGAGTAGCTGAGGTGGAGTACAGGCACCTGCCACAATGCCCGGCTACTTTTAGAGACGGTCTCATTTTAGCTCAGGCTGGTCTCAAACTCGTGAGTTCAGGCGATCTACCTGCTTTGACCTCCCAGAGTGCTGGGATTACAGTTGTGATCCACCACGCCCAGCCTTCTGTTGCCTTCTTGATGGCTCTCAGTTCCCATGTGCCTCTCTGAGGGTGAGTTTCTTGTAGCCCTGAGTATGATTCTGCTGCTAACAGATATACCTCTTTCTTTGCACAATCTGTCCCCAAACACATGCCATCTCCTTCATGTGGTGCGCAGCCAGAGAAAGCAGCCCAAGGCTCCAATGAAGGAGGAACAGCTGCTTGGACTCCACTGTCTTGAAAACAGTCTGTCAGTCTCCAGCATAGCACCTCCCTGGGGATTTTCAGGGGTGAACTGGATTCTAAGCAACTTTTGCTTGAAGACCTACCTACCTTTCGATCAAAGCTCCCATGGGAGCCACGAGTGCACTGTCTTTGCATCATTGCTCTTCTCTAAACATCCTAGTCCCCTCCCCAACTGTCAGCTCCTTAAGGATGAGAACTGAAGGTGAAGCTGTCATAAAGGGCATGGCCTCGCCCTGCCTCACCCTTCAGTAGAAATCCAGGGCCCTTGCATCTCTATGAATAGGCCTCTAGCTCTTTCTTCTCTAGGCTGGAGGGTGACTCTTCCCTGGGGACTCTTCCTGTTGGCTGAGTCATCAGGCTCCCTTGCCCCCGAGGGGTGTGATGTGTGCCTAGGAAGTGCAGTGGCCAGTCTCCCCATTTGTCATCACACACAGCTTGCCAGGAGTGAGGAAAGCACAAAACAGCTTGGCAGTGCATGTCAGTGCAGCAAACCCTTAAAACATGTGCTGGCCCTTAGGACTATGTCGCCCTTGGTAGAGTGCTGTGGTGTCATAGCACCATGTTCATTGTCCTAGGGACATCATGGGAAATGCCGCTGATTTCTCCTTTTCAATGGAATGCCTTTCAGAAAACTCACATCATGGCTGTCACACAGCTCTGGACATAAACCACAGACAAGCCAATGAGGAGAGCATCCATGCACCCCAAGAGCGATTACCTTGTCCTGCAGGTGGTGCCCTCCCAGGCTCTCTCATGTTCAGGTGATCTAGAGGGCTGCAGCCTGATGTCCTGGGGCCCCTGTCCAGGTCCTCCTGACTCTCTGCACTTTTTCTTCCTTTAATTGGGGGTAGAAGACCCAGTGGTGAGGCCATATTCTGGAGTGGGGCAGCATCACCTTCAAAAACAAAAGGAGAAAAAGCCTGAGTGAGAAAACTTCTGAATCAGAGGGGAAGAGACCAAACCTCTTTTTAACTTACTTAATGCTTCTTGGTATTTAGGATGGCTTATTCCACTCATTCTTAAGTTTGTCCCTCTTTTTCAGTCCTGCTAAGGAGCAGGGACCATATTTCTCCTGTGGCCAATATGAAATCACTCTGGGCTAGAATAGAGACCCCTCATTTGGGCAATTGCCACAAACCAGGAGGCATAAGTCGTGGTGGTTGTTATTCTCATTTTATGGCTGAGATCTCGAGACAGAAGTAGGACAAGAGAGTCTGAAAACTCCTTCCGCTCCCAATCTGAAGGCTCTGACGAGGGAGACCCCAGATTAGCAGCTCATGGGGTTATTGGGCCCAGATTTTTGACCATAAGAGGCACAACTTCCAGGTGGTGGTCAGAGGGTGTCAGATTGACGATAATGCTACACGAAGCACATCCTACCCTCTTCCTCTCTCTGTTTTCTCTTCTTGACACTAGCAGGAACTGCTCTAGGAAGCCCGAAACCCAGGAATCTAAGCGACTGAGGCCACGGCTTCATCCTTTCAGACACGGTGGTCTTTATTTCACATTCAACCCATTTGGCTATTTGGCTTTAAAAATTGGCTTCGTGCACAATCTCAAAATATCATAGACTACTTACTTATTGTAAAAGGGAAAGATATCCTCACAATGTAGAAATCTGGCAGATATCACCTTTAACCAAATTGCACAATTTAACCTATAATGGAACAAACCTAACATTTTGTGGCCCTTGGTGTGATGTGCTGAGGACACATCACCCATGTGACATTCCCACCAAAAACATTTGATCTGAATCTCATTATGACGAAACAGACATCCAAATTAAAGATAATTCTGCAAAGCAATTAACCTATCTTCTTCAAAAACTATCCATGTCCTGAAGAACAATACTGGAGAAGTTGTCTAGATTAAAAGATTATAAAGAGATGTGACAACTAAATGCAATGGATGATCCTGAACTGAATTCTGGATCAAACAAAAAGTTAGAAGGAACATTTTTGGTATAATTAGAGAAATTCAAATATGGATTATGAATTAGAAAATAATATTACACCAAGGCTAACATTTTTTTTCTTTTTTCTTTTTTTGAGACAGGGTCTTGCTATGTCACTTTGGCTGGAGTGCAGTGGCGTGATCATAGTTCATTGTAACCTTGAAATCCTGGGCTCAAACTATCCTCCTGGCTCGGCTTCCTAAGTAGCTGGGACAACTTGGCTAATTTTTAATTTTTTTTTTTTTTCTAGAGACAGGGCCTCTCAGTGTTGTCCAGGCTGGTTTTGAACTAACTTTAAGTGATCTTCCCGCCTTGGCCTTCTAAAGGATTACAGGTGTGAGCCACCATGCCTGGCATCAATGTTAACTTTCTTGAGTGTGATAATTGTATTGGGGCTAGGAGGGATTCTGGTTCTTAGGAGACATGTACTACAAGGGATACAATGTACAATGTCTACAACTGACTCTTAGATGGTTCAGGCAATAAAAATAAGGTATGTATGTGTGCACATGCATCTATGAAAGCTGCCTTCATTTCTGTGATATTACAGGTGAAATAATTTAGGGCTAAGTGAGTAAATAAGTATGTACACATCTGTGGTAATGGGACAGTCTCACTAACGTTGAATACCTGTTCACCAGAGGCTTCTGAGTGAGAAAGACTGCTGTGAAAAACTTGCCTCTTTGGGTCTCTTTATGCATCTACTACCAGTTTGGGTCACATATTGAACTAAGTCACATCAAGGTATCAGGGGGTTCTTGAACTGGTATATTCCTGGCAGGATGGCAGAGGATAGACAAGCTTTAGACTCAGTCCCTGGTAGGCACAGCAGTTCAAAACAAGTGGAGGGCAGAGCAAGATGAACAATACCAAAGAGGAAATTCAGTGTGGTTATTTATCTTGTGGCTCTGTTTGTGCACCTGACATTGCAGCCATGGTTAGAAAGCTGCTTTCTTGTCTGTTTGTACACATAGTGACCCCCTGCCCATATTTGGATTTTTTTAAAGGGGAGACTTCAAAGTCTTTAGGATAATTAACTCTCACTTAAAAGATAGACCAAATAAGCCTTTGCCCCGATAATCAAAGGACATTCTCAAAACCTACATGTTTCAAGAACGTCCTGACCTAGGTTCATTGTTTTGTTCATTCTGAAAGGCAGTGCTGCGTGATGGGCAAAGCATGGATTCTGGCACCAGAAGGCCTGAGCTCCAATCCCAGTGTGGCCACCTATGGTTGTGTGACATTAACACGTTACTTATCTCTGAGGGATTCAGTTTTCAGATGTGTAAAATGAAAATAGGATTGTTGTGAGGATTATGTGTGACAACACATGTTAAAAACTAAGATCAGTGACTGGCACAGAAGAGGAAGTCTACACATGTACACGTGCATCCTTCTGATCTCTGATACCACCAGTCAGAAGTCACTTAACATTTGTGACACATTGTTGTCTTGCACATGCCTTCTGGAAAGGAGGTTCAATTTTTTTTTTTTTTTTAAATGAGGTGCTTTCTAAATATGGCCCATTGCTTCCAACCTACCTAATACATAAACATGCACACTTACGTGCACCCATGTGTACAATTTCAAATGTCTATATGTTTTGAAAAATTGGAGGAAGACTTTTACTGATATTATGGATCTTTTAATGGATAAACATATTTATAAACATATTAGAAATGAAATTTCATTGTTTAAAAACACAAGATTAAGTATAGGGCATGCAGCAATGTTTTAGTAAGTCTGGTGCCATCTTACATCTGCAGCTAGGAAATATTAGTAGAGGGATGATTTAGTGAGTAAGCAATTCATGAGCTAGGTATGAAGTGAGTTTTACTTCAGCATTTTGGTTAAGGCAGTGCTGCAGGAACAAAAGCCATCAGTGGGGCGGGTGGTAACTAACCTCCTTTCCAGCCTCCTTTGTCTTGGCTGAGGACCCTGGTGTGTCTTGCCTTGCTTCCCTTCATAGTGACATTCCTGAGAGATGTGGGAAGGGAGGAGGAGCTACCTTGAGATGAGAAGATGTCCCCGTCTCTGCCCGTGTCCACTGGGAGATACACTGTTAACTCCCGTGGTTTTTCTAAGGACGCGTGCTTCAGGGGAGGCCTCCACAAAGGCCTGGCCTCTTCTGTTTCTGGTTCTGACTCAGGGTGTGGAGCACCTAGGAGATAAAGAGTAAGCCATGTTATAGTAGATGTCAGTTCTTTGGGGGGACCTACTCCACTTCGACTCACACCATGTGGTTGGAGTGGAGCTGTGTCCCTTCTCTGATGCCAGGGATGTGCATGTCACTGAAGCCTGGCCTAGGAGTACCTCATTGCCTTAGCCACAGAGACTGGTTCCAGGGTGGGCACATGACCCATGCCTGGCCAATCAGGTGATCTTTTAGCTCTTTTGCAAGAGTTTTTAGGAGTCATATCCTTTCTATAGAGGTTGACAGGCAGGAGGTTAGCATGGTATTGTATGGTATTGCGGGAGAGCATCTTTATCACCATGTGGGAAGAGACCTTGCTTGAGGGAAAAGGCTAACAGAGCTGAGAGACTTAGAAAAGTCTTGGCCAGGTGTCACTTTCTGAGACCTGAGTTCAGCTGGTTCTGGAGTTTGCTGATCCTTGCATGAGCTAATAAATTTGGTTTCTTTCCTCACATGTAAAAGAAGGAATAATTCAATGAACTAACTTTCTTTGTACTTTATTCTTATTTTTCACTTGGTCATATGTTGACAACCTTAATACATCTGATAGCTTTAAGAATCTGGTTCACGATGACCTGGTGGTCTTTCCAATTCTCCTGACAGGTTTGTCATGGAAAATAATTAAATTTAACCCAATTGTGAATAGTCTTGTCTCTCTGTATGTTAAGTATGTCTTTTTATTCTGCTATTTTGACATCTGGGACCTGATTGTCCTGGGGAGTCGGTCCCTTCTAGGACTAGCCAATTCCTAGAGATAGTAAATGACCTCTTACCTGGGAGCACATCATCATAGGCAAACCAATTACTCCAGAACTATTCCCTTCGTCAGACTCTTACTCTCTTGGGCCACTGTCCAACTGCCTTTATTACCCAGACAACTAAGGAAAGCCCCTATGTCCCAGAGTCCGCTGAATTATTCAAACTAGCCAATCCTAAATCTGCTTAGTCTGCTTGCCCTGCCTCCAGCATTCTTTCTGTGAAAAGCACATGGACTCTCACCCGGGTTCTTCCACTTCTGCCTGCTGACTAACCCTGGTGCTTTCCCAAGTGGCATGCTCCCGCTTCTTGGGAACTGTGAGTAACAGTCTTTTTAGCACAATTGTCTCCTGATCTGCTGGCCATACCACATCTGAATAATAATAACATCGACATTTTAAAACACTATGTTGGGTGGAGCGCATAGTTCAGTGGGTAGGGCACTGGCCACATAAACCCAGTGCGGGCCAGATAAAATAAAAATGACAACTGCAACAACAAAAAAATAGCTAGGTGTTGTGGCAGGCCCCTGTAGTCCCAGCTACTTGGGAGATTGAGGAAAGAAAATCACTTAAGCCCAGGAGTTTGAGATTGCTGTGAGCTGTGATACCACAGTACTTTGCCCAGGGTAAGAGCTTGAGACTCTGTCTCAAAATAAATAAATAAAAATAAATAAAACACCATGTTGTTGGCTGTGGGTGTGTTTTTAAAAAGAGCTGATTTTTACAAAGAGTTAATTTTTTTGAAAAGGTGAAATCTATGTATAGTGAAATGCACAGATCTTTTTCTTTTTTCAACATGTCAAGAAGAACCTTTATTCCTTTCGTTATAGCCTCTTATGCTTTCTTTCCAGATGCCTTTGGAGCAGGTGCTTTCTGGGCGGGAGCCTTTTGACCCCTCTGAGCTTTTGGAGGAGGTGCTGCCTTCTGGCCTGTGGCTTTCTGGGCAGGAACCCTCTGGGCTGCAGCCTTCTTGCCTGCAGTGGTCATCTTTTTTGCTGGAACTTTAGCAGCAGCTGCTGCAACAGCAGCAGCACCCTTAGCAGGTGCTTTTTTGGGAGAAGCTTTCAGAAAAGCTGCTTTTTGAAGCTTCTTAACTTCATTCTTTTTTTTTTTTTTTTTTTTT